TCCCTAACCATGTATTCATTAAAAAAAAAAACAAAGCAGCATTGAAATTCCTTTTAAATAGCACTTGTGCTGTTGTACTTAAAGCTGGAAACAGCTTTGAGCTGTTTCTAATAGAACATGTTAAAAGTGAGAAGTACTGTGGAGATCTCTTGCTGTACATTAACTTGGTGACAGACAGATGAACACAGTGTGGTGTGCTCAGCATGTCACCCTGGCACCTTGAGCCTGTCTTATTGGTAAGGGAAAACCTGTTGTAATACACAGAACACTCAAGAATATGAAGATATAACTGGCCATGTGTCTTGATGACATTTTAGCTAAGAGGAAAAATGCAGCTAACAGGACCTGGTGTTTGGAAACGCATTCCAAAACCATTGTGGTCTGTCCCAGCTGAGGCTGCTTGAAGAGAAAGCTGAACCAATTTGCATAGCTCTCTAACTACTGCTGTAAGGACTGATTGCTCCTTTCCTGGTATAAACAAACAAGTAAGTACAGATTATTCTGGTTCATTTTTAGCGAAGGTCAGCTAGGGAGCTTTCACAGTGCTCTCTCAGAAATCTGTGTTCTCTGATCAGCATCCTGTATGTTCCTCATGCAGTGGTCTCATGTCAGCTGCACTGAGCCAGCCATGCTTTTACCCCAGTGTTTGCGCCTCATGTTAAGGAAGACATGTCTTGCCTTCTAACAGGACTCTGAGACATAAACAGATGTATATACTGCCAGTCCCCTCAGAGAGTTAAATGTCCCACTTTCCCCACTTTCCCTAATGCTTCCTGTTGATGGCTGGCTTTCAACTCAGGGCACACAACTTCACCAACCTGCACAGGGTTTGCACACAGACGTGTGCATGAGGGGATGGCTGTGACCACAGAGAGTAGGCTGCAGCGGGTGCAGAGAAGAAGCTTGAGCCTTCAAAAAGGAGACCTCTATTACTTCCATATAGCAGGGACTAACAAGTGACATGAAATCAGCCTGAAAAGCCTTGCAGTTTAGAGGCAGGTGACCAAATACTAATCCTGTGGCTGCCAGCAGCTAACATTAGCGGAGGAAGAGGATCTGAACTGACTGCAACTTCTGTGTCATCACATAAGACTTAAATAAGAGCTCAGCTGGGAAATGGAGAGAGAAAGGTAATTTCGCAGTATCTGTGCTGCACCACAGGCTGCCTTGGAAAACCCCTGAATTCTGCACCATGGTGTCCGAGCTCAGAGACACTACCACTAATCTAAGAAAAACCCTTGCTAAGGCACAGCCTGTTTGCTATTACTCCTGCTGGGTATGGTAGGGTTCCTTCGAGTAGCTTGCTCCTTGCACAGCCTGACCATCTACACACAGTTCATGAGTAAGGGAGTGCTCCCCCTGACAGAGCAAACCTTTGCTGCAATGGAGAAATGCAGTAATTTAGCACCCAGACAAATTATTTTGGGATTTCTGCACTGGACTGAGGCTGACACATCCCACAGCCAAAGGGATGTGTGCTACAAATGCACCACTTTCCTCTCACGAGTCTGTGTCTTCACATAGTTTACAACTGTGCAACATTATCAGGGCTGATCTGTAGGGTCATCTAAACAGGTCTAGCATTGAACCAAAATCTTTAGTTCTTCAACTAAACATTCTTCAACAAGCCTGATCCACAATGGCAGCAACACTGGCATTTGGAGCAGTATCTCTACTTACACAAGGAAAGAAGCATTTTTCCCATAGTGCCAATATCAGTGAAGTAACATATAATGGCAAACAGCACTATGCACACTCTTTAAGCTGCAAGTAAATTACCAAGCATGCCTTATTTTCTAAAATCAGAACAGTCCATTAACTATAGAGGGCAAAATTCTACAGCTGACTCCCTTCTGTCTGCTATACAAATTTTACATTCAGTTACACAGTCACAAAACAGGGTTGTTGGAAGGAATCACTGCTTACCTACAACCAAAACCACATCAATATGAGTAATCACATCAGCTGTCTTAAATGTTGGGGGTCTAATGGCTTCTACTTATAGCCTTTAAATAAAACAGCTTGTCTACATAATTTTCACTCAGCAATACAACTAATTCCCATTTTTTGAAGAAGCAGCTTTAATACCCCCCTGATGCTTAAAATCCATGAGACAATACTTATGATCATACTTCACAGAACACATCTGCATGCTGCCCAGTTACCCTGGGAAGGCACAAGTGTAGCCTTTCAGATCCCATGGAGATTGAAACAAACCACAAAGTTATGTTTCTTAACAAAAATATGTATTTTTTTCTACTCTGACCCAACAGTGTCACCATCAACAACGGTGAAAAAGTGCTTTCTGTTGCAGCAGTAGGTTTGCAGGCATGACTGGTCTGTGGAAGGAGGTAGAACATTTTTTTTTTCTGCCAATTCTATGAAAAAAGTATGTCTTTAGTGATCGGAAGGTTTCTGAGGGTTTTACATTGGGAAGATACTTCCCTGCATGTTTGCTGCTTGTACATAAAGCTTCACTGTTATTTTTTTCCAGTGGTTAATGGACTTCCTTTACATCTTCTGGAATCCTTCTATAGATCATCCCCTGGAAAATGTATTCACATGACATGTCTAAGTACTTGATTTGGTTTGTGTTATCAGTCTGGGAGCTTGTTCCCCACTTTCTCTCTGATTTGAAAGAACAAGATGTCAAGCCACTAGTCTGACTGCCCTTGGTTGAAGTAGAGCCCCTGAATAAAAACACAGCTATCACCGATGGCCATGGGAGCTCACCTGGCAACAACAGAGGCAAATTTGAAGTCTAGTTCCTTAGAACCTGTGGCACATACTAACTTCAGTCATACCAACACCTACTGAGTTTGTGTGCTGAAGCATTTGCAGGCTCAGGCCTTTGAATCAAACTGAATCTTTAGAGCTCATGTGTCTATTTTTCCCTTCTGTCTGTTGACAAGCAATCCTAAGAATCTGTCACTAGCAGGTAAAAATAGAAACAGGACAGGAAAAGCTATGGACCTCAAAAGTGTTTCTGGAATTTCAGTGTGGATAAATCTCTCATGATGAGCTTATGAAAGAACTGCCCTTGAAAGTACTGTGGAGAACTTTCGGGAAAAAAAATCCCATAAAGACACAAACCAAAAGCTTACTGCAGTAATTAAAAATTACTCTGCAGAGGATGGTGATGGTAATGTGAAAAGCTTGTGATCTATCAGAACTCGAGCAAACTGATAAATACCATGAGGGATTAAGAATATTGTCAGTTCAGAGAAATCTCTGAGATTTAAATAGTATTCTCAGAACAATTTATAACAAGGAAAGCTTTGCCCTTTGTGGGTCTGTAACAGCACTGACAGACTTCAAGGAAGGCTCCAACTGTAGAGAACATAAACTTGGCTTGGCACAGGACACAAGAGAAAAACTTGTCTTCAGAGAATGGCCAATTCAGTGGCAACAAACATCTGTCATTGTTTCATGGCATAGGAAATACAAGTTAGAGCAAGAGCTGTTGGTCTCTAAGTCACATGAAGAGTTCAAGCTTAAGGAAATTAAAAGACAGAAGAGATGTCACACTGGCTCATGCAGTTCTGTCTTTAATGGTGGCCAGTTGTAGCTGTTTAGGGAAAAAGTATAGGAAACAAAGAGCAGAAGAAATATAATTCAGCTACAGATGAATTGAGTAACTTCATTTTCAACTGTGAAATAAGACACAGAGTACTATATTCCACATTCCCAGGTTGTGGCAAGGGAGTGGGTTGCAAATACTTCAGGCTTGTGTACTGTAAGGTTGCCTTTGACATAAATTAGTTTCTCTTCACACATAAGCCACGTGCAACTCAGTCAAAAAGGTTCTACACTAAAATGAAAAGGAGAGAGAAATTCTGCCATCACTCCGTTACTCAACAGTAAATATATGAATGTAGGGAGAAGGGAGTTACAAAGCAGCCAGCTACCCCATGGAAATATGGAACTCTGGGGATAAAGAGAAAACCTGTTTGGGATATGAACAAATTCAATCGTAGGACTCTGAGCATTGGATCCTAAAACAATTGCTGCATTTCCCAACTACTTTTCTAGTGTTACAAAGTACTTTTTCTGTGAAAAATCTGTTTTCTAGGTTCTCCTTTGTTTTTGTTCTGCTACTGCAGGTACTGAGGAGAGACGATGTCATGGCCCCAAGAGCTAATATAAATCCATCCTATCTAGAGAAATAGACATTGGATTTACCCTGGTCATCTGCTCCATTATTTGCTATGATCCCCACCAGCTCTAAGAGTTTTCTTCCAAAATTGTTTGTTTGTTGCTAAGAAGACTTGTCCAGAAACAGTGTTCTTGGAGAAGATGCACTGTATGTATGTGTGCAAGCTGGTAGTTTTGGAACACTGTAGGTTCAGCAAAATTTCTCCCTGAATGTCATCCCCATGCACTGCTTCCCAGTGTGAACAAGGCTTTAGATCCTTCCATCAGTGTCAGCACCATCTATGAGACTGCCCTTTTTACTTAATTTTGAGAGCAAACAGAATCAACACCCATGGAAGTACCACCACATGAAAAAACAGTGCCATGAGAGGCAGCATGGAAAAGCTCCTGCAGGTTCAACCTGTGCTGCCCTTCCTACCATTCACAGTAAATGAAGGACACCCAGGGATAGGCTGCCATCCCACTGCATGTGACACAAATGCATTCTTTTGTTTTCCTGACATGCTAGTTACCAGAACTTTTGTTCATTTAAAGAAATAAAACCAAAAGAGATGAAAAGAAAAGCAGATCTCTGATATCTTCTTGCACGTGGAGGTTGATTTGAAATGAAAAGTAGTGAAAATAAAGTAAGTCCAGCCTTTTAGATATCTGGCGTGAATTAATGACAGCTGATTTTCTCAGTACTCCAATACTATGACCACACTCACTTGTCCAGATAAAAGCAACAGATCCTCACAAGAAAAGACAACTCACCTTTCTTGAACTGCTAGTGCTTTTAGCATTAGGTAGAGGAGTCAGTTTTCTGGTTGAGATGAAAATCAGAGAGTTGAACAAAGGTTTCTTACCGTTAAGGACAAAGCCATGCAAACGAAAGTGAACTTCTTGATATGTGTTGCTGTGACGATGCTGTTCGTGTTCACCAATTTATTGCTGGGGTTATTCTAGGGTAAGAGAAAGAGATAGTGAGCATTAGCTTGGCTCCAGACTACCGGGAGGCTGACAGCACCAGGGTCATGTGCTGGACCTGACTGTCTGTGCCTGTCCGTGTCTGACTTTGCTTGTTTGCTTTATAACCTAGAGCTTTCTGAGTACTTTGTACTACTACAGAACATTTTCCGCTTAAACTGACACCAACTGCTGTTATAGTCACTGAAGGGCTGTAATCTCCCTATTTTTCTAAAGAATAAGTCCTATTTAATAAATTCAGCTTTAAAAAGGGATGATAGCTCTTTCTAAGGAAACTCCACATGCTTTTTTTTAACCTTAGTGTGAAGTTTGTAGCATGTTTTTTTAGGAAAAACAAGATTTCATTCCCTTTCACCACAAATTGGTACCAAATCACCAATGCAAGCATCCTTACTGATCCAATTAGACAAGTAGGTAATATAAACAAAGCTCCTGGAACAGTCAGCTCCGTTAATGCAGTTTAATGAACAGAACATAATTAGGACTATTAGATGTTCCACCTTGAACACGGGCTCTGTAATCACATGGCAGCGAAGTTTTATTTAAAACAACAACAGCCTTCTTCCAAATATCTAATGTAGCAAATGAAGCTGAAGATTTAAAATTGCCCTTGGGGAACACATAAAAACAATCTAAATGGTCTGTGAAAGAAGAGGATGGGATATCAAAGCGGGGCACTATTAGGAGCCCTGTAGCAAGAGGCTGTTGGGTCATCTATTGCATTTACCCTGGGGCTGTTTGAGATACACAAGTTTGTGCACCCGCTGATAAAACCTGTACCATGAGACATAGTACTACATTTATACATCCTTGATGCAACTCAGGTAGAACAGCAGCATCTGTCACATGGTCAGCCTCCTTTACTGAAGTTACTCATAAGAGAAATAGAATCGTTGCAAACACGTCTTGGGAGGTGACAAACCAAACGTAAGCTCTGTGATTTCACACACATTCAAGTTGTTGATGGAATTTTGCAATTTAAGGCTTTTGTTCTGATCAGTGCAGCAACTGCACCTAGACAGCCCCACACTCCTGCCTAAATACCTGCTTGGAAGTCTGGGCTAGGCAGCCCAGACCCTGAAGCAGGAAGCCGCTCCCAAAGGTGACCTTTTTTGAGAATAGGTTAGGAAAACTCTCTGTAAACACTTTTTCACTCATCTATTCCTATTAATTGTGTTTCTGAAGAAATACTTTGCTATGGTTAGTTTTTATATATGTGAAGATAGGCCTTGCTTACATCACTTACTAGGGTTTAAAGGAACTTTTTGCCGAATGGCTTAACTTTCTAACAAGGCTAAAATGACAAAGAGGGAGGAAAAAAAAAACAAATCAAACCATCCAAAAGGAATGGTAAGAAAAGTTGTCATTCATTCCTACCTCATCGCTGCTATCTCTGCCTTTGTCCTACTCCACCCTTTGCTCTAACTCTTGACCATATACTCTTTCTTCCTAACTCTTGTATCCTACTTAGTTCTCAGAACAAAACACTATGCAGATCCCAGAGCAAAAAGAATATCCATTCCCATCTAGTAATCAGATAAATAGCATTTGCAAGTCTTCTCACAGTTGCTCTGAGTCAGGTTGCATAGTCCATTAAGAGTAATGGCATTATCACCACATAAACCAGCATACAGAGTAGAGAACTAGTATATCAGTAGTAACCCTTAGTCTGAATCTAACTACTAGGCCATGAGGTTGCTCTGGACACAGTCTCATAAAAGACTGAACTAGGACTCTGCATCTCTCTTAAAAATGTGAAGAGAGGTAATCATTTCCCTGTGAAGACAATCATCTGGCTTCTCAAGTAGAGCCACTGAAGAGGGGCATACTATCAGGATCCAAATCCCATCAGTCAGTGTGCTTCTGATGGCAATCAGCATTGCCAACTTTCCGAGTAATTGACAAAAGAAAATGGGAGTTTGAATGCATACACACTCTTTTGGCATCTGAAAATCACAATGAAGGCTTTACAGGGTCCAGAAATAAAAAGTGTTTCTATCCAGACTCTTCTGAGAAAGCCTTAGCTTAAGGAAAAAAAGCTTTTGAAAAGCACGGTGACACACAGAATATGTGGGACTGAGGGAAAAGTAATTCTCACAGCAATCTAAAAAAACCCCAAACCACTGTGGGTTTCAGGTTTCATATTTATTATCTGAAATGTATGGTGGAGGTATTTACACACGCAGTTGCAAGGATATATACTGCTGCTACCTCACTTTGCACATTTTATTCCAAATTGCTCTTAAAACATGGAACTAAAATTCCCATTAGTTTTTCAGCAATTAGATGAACTATAGCCATCTGTACCCTACCCTAGCATTTTCTTCCTCACATTGTTCCCCAAGAGCCCTATGAGCAACCTTTAAACTGAAATAAATGAATTGACAAATCATAGTCTAATCCTGTCACCACTACAGTTGTCAGCACATCTTCCACCAGCTAAATGAGAACTGAATTTAGGAGTCTTAATTGCTGTTACTATAGCTTGGTAATAGTGCATTTGATTGTGGCTCGGATCAAATGAGGTTAGCAGCCCCTGAGTTTCCTGTCCCAAACTATTTTTATCTTGAAGTTTATTGGGTTTGCATCTGCAGTTCCTTTTCAGCAGCATGACCTCTGAGAAAGCGTGCATGCGGTATTTTATCTGACAGGTCAATTTAGCTGTATAGAGGCAGGTTAGGAGGTTATGACAGATTTGACTTTGTTTTGGTTTTGAATTTTCCTTGGAAATACAGTGGATGATATCAAACAGGGCTTGCTCCAGTTAAACACATCAGAGCAAGCAAGCATATTTTTCATGAGTATTTGGAACCAGAAAGTTCAATTACTAATTGGTAAATAAAGGAAAAAAGAGGATCTGGCATTCGAATTCTAGAGTCACAGGACAGGACTATTCTTCACGCAACATATGGACTAGTGAGTACCAGTCCTTAATCAGAGGAAAAAAAAAGAGACTAAACAAAATTAATTTTTGTTATATATTTACTCTGCGCTCAGTTCCAGAAGCAGTCCTTGCATTCTTACAAAATTACATCACATACCAACAAAAATCTTCATAGCCTTGGTCAGCTAAACCAGTGCAACTAAAAGAATGTATGTTATCTCTGTTACTGTCAGTCTATGAAACACCCTTTGCTAAACATTAACATAAGCAAATGAACCCAAACCCACTTAAGAGATACCACAAAATACGGGAGCAGCGATGTGAGCTTGCTCACTCACTGATGTCACTTTGGGAAAAATAACTTCATTACCTAAGTAGCTACATCATAGTGAGGACTTTTTTTAATCCTTAAAAATACAGCACCTATCTGTTCAAAAGGCAGCTTAATACCTTGTAACACAGAGCTAAGGTTAAAATCATAAATCAGACAACAGCTTGAAGCCACCCAAAGCCAATTAATTTTAACAAGGATTTTAAAAAAACCCATCAGTGGAACAGCAAACAGAGAGAACAAGGAGGACCACACATGCAAAACCACACAAAAGGTATTTATCACACCCCTAACAGGGACACTCACCTTGTCAAAAGCAGGGTACACTGCTCTGATCTCTGTCAGCCAGCCATATGGCATGTGTCCCACAGGATATGTAGCTGTCAGAATTGCCACTGCCTACAAATGGAGACAGAGAGACATGAACTTCAAATCTTCAAACACAACAGTTAAACTAACATACAATGACATTTTCCACCAATATCACCACATTGACCTTGACACAATGAGAAACCAGAGAAGCAACTGAAAGCTCTTTGTTTCAGGAAGGCCATCAGAATGGCCACCATTTGGCCTGGCACTTTAAGCTTATGAAATCTTTTGTGCCACAAAGCTATATAAGTTTTGTCATTTCACCATCACTCTGGTGCTTTGGGATAACAGTTAACTTGAGCTGTGGTGCACCCCTCAGCCAGACAAACAGCTCCTCACACATTGCTCCTGAGTGATTTTACTTACAGGTAGCTGAGTAGCAGAATGCCTTACAGCTCATGGTAGCTTTGGATCATATTGCATAATTTTAATTTATATACATTTTATTTGGTATTCTTATGTATAAAACAGCTTTAAGCAAAACAGAGAGATGACAAATCAGTGGGCCTCAGTGGCTGACTGACATCAATCTGACTACACTGGGGCAGGAGGCACTTACGAGACAAAAAACTCCACCTCTCCCAGTGAACAACAAATAAAAATAATTCCAGATGAATATTTTCATCTTGAGAAACAACTGTCTGCCTGAAATTTAAAACTACACCCTTTTACACTTTCACAAGTACAGTCCAAGAGGTGCATAAAAGACAAGCTCCCCTACATAGTAATGTATGAAAGATTTTGGTGATGTTTCTGATTGCTGAAGAAAAAGTCTAAATATATGTACTTCATGTCTTTGATGTAGAAAGGGTGCTTCAGAGCTCTTCGTGAGGCTGCTTGTAAATCTACTGTCACTCCAAGTTTTCTAGTACTCAGAGCTAAAGGATGCATCTGTACTGAGAACTGCATGACTATCTCAATTCTTAGAAATCAAAGTGCTTGACTGCCTTTTGACTGCAGGTTCAGATCTGCTACCATCCACCTAAATTCTTATTCATTTTACATCTGGTAATGGTAGCTTCAGGAAAGACCTTTTTAACTACTGCTGTCTCTGTTTCAGTGCTAAACTTTTGATGTACATTTTCTTGGTTATCTGAGCCCGATTTCCCATTATAAATGTAACTTCTGTCTTTGCTTGGTTAAAAGAACTATGCCAGCAAATGACCATGTAGCAAGCTAATTTGTTTCCTGTGCTGTTTAAAAAGAAGGGGAAACATAGTGATATCCACAGAGAGGAAGAAAGTGGGATAGATCCTTCCCTGCTAATAATAGCTTTAATAATGTTTAATGTACCTTGAAAAAGTAATTGGTTCAAATAAAACAAACTGGAATTTTAAGACAGTACCCTTTTTAATTGCACACCTTCCCATTATTGTATTTTTAGCAGAATTTCCATCTGAAATGAAACCTAACTAGGTTAAATCAAACAAGGAATATAAAAGATATTTTGCTTATTTTCATCATGAAGTCCTAAAAGACTGTAAAGACACAGTACCTGTAAAGAAAACAGTATTTCACTACCACATTTTGTATGCTAGATTCCACTTGGATTAAAATATTTAAGTTTTTAGCAGTGATTTTTTCCCAGTATTTTTCCTCAGTTGGTGTGATCTCAAAATATATGCATGTAAGCTTTTCTAAATGCCTAGAATCTGTATTTGACAGGTGAAAAAGACCTCCATCAAATCCAACACCAAAGAAGTAGCCCAATAACCATAACTGTGCTGGCAGTCCAAACAAAAGCAGTGGGAGTTGGACAATGCAAGAGGATTGCGGTCCTCATGAATGTGTTACAGCCTGGTCCTTCATGGGGACATCCTGCCCACACTGAAAGTTGCTGATATTATTGAACAGGGGACCTATAAAACCGTGGATACTGATGCTCCAGACACTGATGTTATCTGTATTTCCAGAACCTCCCTTTTCAGAGGCAATTATTCAGAGAAAGTTGAAATGTGACCATTACTGTTAATGTAAAACTGCCAGCAAACCACCAGCTATGACAAATAATTGGAGTCATCCTAATAGCAACAAAATGTAACTGGCTAGCCATGAAATGTGATGCACCTGAAATCAAAAGTCACCAAGAAATGCTAACCCACTTTGGCTCCCCTTGTACCAAAGCTGATATTAATGCATAGAATGATCCCTGATTTACATATGTAAAAGCGTGAAGTTTCCTAAGTTCTCTCCACAGCTGTTCATTTGCAGTCTCTGGCAACTCCTTAGAGTGAAATACACAGTATCACATATGACAAATTAGCAATAGCTCTCTGAATTTTCCTTTCCATTTAGTATCTTAGAGCTTTGCTTTTCCTGTAGAAAAAAAAACATGAGAGATTTGTTAATAACTACGTGCATCTAGACATCCTCCCACTGCAACTGGCAGCAAAGGTCCCCTAGACTTCTTAAGAGAATAGGTCAGCTCATGGTGAGTACTGGTGAAGGCTCTATGTTACAATCAGAAGTCTGGCTCCCAACAGGTTTATGAGACTTATTGGAGTAATCTGAAATTCCTCAAGAAAAAGAAAAATAGGGTGAATTTCACACCCCAACCAGGAGACAGATTTTTTTTAAATGCTTTCTTATGCCTCTACACTGCTCTGTGTGATGCACTGACTGCTAACAGTAGTTTCACATCAGTTTGCATAGCCATAAAATACACATGACAGGTAAGAGCAGAACATGGGACTACTGATGACTGTCCTAAAACCTCTGGGATACGAATGCTCCGGGGGATATATACCTTATATGTAGAGCATGAAAACTTGGGACACAGGCACTGTTCAGTGACAAAATTCTACAGGTCTTGTTGAGGGTGAGGTCCCACTAGACCTGGCAGAAAGACTCATGGTAAGAGTCCAAGCAGTTTTCTTTTCAAGCATAAAAAGAGCACTAAACAGAAATGTACTTAAGACAATCTTCTCTTGTCAGCATGGCTGAGAAGAGAAACACAGATCTAATACCATGTTAATGATCATTTGCAGTATGCAGAGCACTGACTTTCTTACCTCTGTGGCTGCAGAACTGCCACCTAGGTCGCGGGAGACAAAAAGGTTGACAATGGGCCTACTTATTCGCTGAGTTGCCAAAATTAATGCCAAAGGCCACCAGAAACTCAGCATCTTCCTTATCGTAGCTTCTCCCTGCAAGACAGAGTAAAAAAAATAAAGTGTGTTTGGAAAAAAACACATAGCACAGGACCAAAAGCACAGAAAAAGGTTTTTTGCTTTTCCCACCCATTGTCAGTTTGGTACATTCATTTCAGTAATTTTCAACATGAAGAGCCTAAAATATTATCACTCATGTTATTAATACTGATTCCAAAGAAGATGTGTCATGGATCCCAATAAATAATGCATAAGGTATCTATCTGCATAATTTGTTCTGACTGCCAGACAAAGCTACATGAAAATCAACAAGACATTTGAGGAAAAAGAGAAATTTTGAGATCTTCTTCCATGTGAACTAAGGTGATCACTTAGTTCATGCTGTGCTGTCTTACAACTCAGTACAGAGGTGGTCAGTAGACAGTACATCCATACCGTGGAAGGCACTGTCTCATGTGCACTGTTGCCAGAATAGTTTCTACCATGCCTCTTTAAGTGAGAATGCTTTTCCTGCAGGACAGAGAGAAGGCCCTTTGTGCACAGTAGTTTAATAGAGTATTATAACACAACCCCCCCCCCAAGGTCAAAATTATTGAGTTTGAAAAAGCACAAGTATTAAGACATACCCCCATTTCAGGCCCACTCCTGTCAGGAATAGCATCATGTATGTTCCTGTAGTATCCGAGGCATAACGTGGTACATCGCACAAGTGCTCCCATGTATAACGACAAGATTGGGATCAAGAGAGGCTCCCTGCACTCCAAGTGACTGTGAAGCAAAATGGCTACAAAAACAACCTGCAGAGCAAACAAATAAATTATTAATAATTTGTCTGTGTGTTTCTTTAGGGCCAACATATCTCCCGTCTTGATTCCTAGCTAGTCCACCTGAACCAACAACCATGCATGACTACAGTATCTATCTGATTTCGAGTTTATGGTATTAAAAGGGGGATGAGGATCCCCCAGCATTTGGTCATACACATGAGAAGAACAAGAGTTAACTTCATACTCTATTGAACAGTACTTGAAGGTTGGGCAGGTGTCAAACTACGAGCCATAAATAGCAGAAGGGTAGCATGAAAGTCTGGCAAGGTCTGACAGCAAGCATGTGGCTGAGTGTTACTCTTTCCAGGAGAATGTGCTATTCTGATAGACACTGAGGCTGAAGACATGCTTCTACAGTCAGTTTTTAAGCCCTACTATTTTATTTTTTTTTTGTTAGGGGGAGGCTACTGGCAATTAAAAAGTCAGATGTTTTAACGCATTCACTTCAGCATTTAGGAGAAGGAAGTCTTATGTCAACCTAATTTTCTACTTTTTTGAATTAAATTTCAGTATTTCATTATTTGCTCTTCAGCTGAGTGCCACATTGATGTAAATGCAATGGAAACTTTTGGGCTAATGAACACCTCATAAGACAGCCACTTAAGACTAAGTGTTCAATCCATAAAATGCAAAGGAATTGATTAATATGATATTATTCTCTTTGTTAAGTACAGAGTGCTTACATGCCTGCTAAATTCCAAATGATTTTGGATGGGGAGCACAACTGGAAAGCCAACTGTGTTTGGTGCTGTGAAGAGCAGAATACCTGCTAGGACATGCTGGCATTCGATTGAATCACAAGAAATACAACACACATTGTTCAGGCGCAGGTTCTCTCCTTCCTGGTTAGAGCTCAAGAAGTAGTTAAATAAAAACACACTCTGCAAATATTTCTGAGGCAGGCCACAGGGCTTATGAAGGTTTGCAAAACTGCTCTTTTGAAAACTACAAAAACATTGTTTTTCAGAAAACAGAAGCAAAGTCAGTCACGAAGAGTGTGCATATGAAGCTATCCAAGGAGAACTGGCTACTGCCTGCACACCTATTGCCTGTGTAGAGAACTGATGTAGCTGTAGAGAGTTCTGGGGTAGGGACAGTCTCAACTTTTTGTCTTCTGGACTTGCTCTTGCTCTGTGTAATATTTTGCTGAGAGAAGATGACAGGTGTCTTACACTTCACAACCCTGGGCACCCCACTCACCAATCGCTGTGGAAAGGGCATGGCCAAAATAAGAATTTGTTTCCATATTTAGCTGTGTATGACCTGACATGCACCTAAGGCCAACAAACTTTGTAGATCACATCAGAACAAGAGCAGACCATGAGGGTTAAAGTAATTTACAGTAATTGGTATTATCTTCAGGGATTTAGTGCAGTACTGTAGTGCGGCAGACCTGTCAAACATAAGTAGCCACTGACTGATGGAGAAACAGCCACAGAATAGTACAAAAGATTACTTCTTCTGGTATCTTGCTCACAGAGGAGAGAGAAGTCACAGAGAAACTATCTGTACAAGAGAGTTCCTGGTTAGGAAAGCATCTGGTCCATAATACAAGGGGAACAGTGACTTCTAGGAGGAGCCTTTACCTGAGCTATGACATCTGAGATGGAGGCACATCCCACCAGGAAACTGTACTTGTGTTTCAGCAGAATCCCAGCATGGGTCCATGCCTGAAAAAAGCCAGAGAAAAGTTTGGGAACTGAATATGATGTTGTGAATGATTTCAAGTCCCAGAATACTATTTTCTGGTTGTTACATTGTACACAAACAACCTGCAAAGCTCTTTTCCACCAGCAGTACCTGGTCTGAACCTGTGCAAACGTTAAGCCATTAATGCAGAGAAAGCACTGTTGCATTCAGTTCATCATTGCCAGGGCTGACAGGGAGAATGGGAAAAATTTTATAGACTGTATAGAAATTTCTGAGTGAACTAATAAGAAACCACCCCTTCATAAATGAGATGCTGCATAGGATGGATTATCATAATAAATAATCCAATGTATTCTCATTCACCAGCTGGATGCACCTCTTAACTGTAATATTCATTGGTCCACTGAGTTATACTGTGTCCTGCCTGGAAGAGAAAATTTAACGATCCAACTTATTTTTATTGTCAGCTACTGTTTCAAGCAGATAAAGTGGTAGAGAAAGTGGTGGAGGCATTGCCATGAGGTTCTCCTTTACCAGTTTTACACAGCAGAAGCATTAAAGGGAGGTGCCATGTTTTTATGTTGGCAGGCCATGAGCAGTAAGCCTAGTGATCTAGGAAGCAGCAGTGCACCCCATGTGGCTCTCTTGCACAATCATTTGAGATATACTGAACTTAGCTGTGCTTGCAAAAACGGATGGTAAGGAAATATCTTTCCAACAAATTTGTTTTGAGAAGATATTGACCTTATTCATTACAAGCTCTGCAAGGGATCTGGGAATGCATGGCAAATCTAAATCTTCCACTACTAATGGGAACGAGAAGTCTCATACAGAAAACCAGTGTAGCTCATCACAAGATAACCAGTGCTTTCCAACATGCACGTACAGTAGCTCTGACAAGGCAGCTGAGGTTTTTGACATCTGTCATGACCTCTGGATGTTTAAAGTCCACCCAAATGGTTTTTCCATGTTGCAGGAGATGATGAGTTCAGGTATATCCAGAGTTATGGCTTGAAAAGGACATATCTTGTTTCTGCACACCTTCAGTTTCCCATCAGGTAACAGACTTTGTGAACTAAGGCCATAAAAAATGTTACATTAATATTAAAATTCAGTTCTGAATCAGGCACTCACCATGGCATCCATAAAAGGGAAGGCAGCAAGATAAAGGAAGGCCCTCCGAGTTTTACTTCCCACTGATTCATCCACATGGTGCAGCTTATTAATAATATAATACCCCAAATCGCTATATGCTGTAGAGACACAAGAATACGAATGAAAAATAAAGATTACATATGAGCTCTGGGTGAGATATGCAGAAGTACCTGAAGGACTGTGATGCCTTGGAGCTCAGACACCCATCCACTTAGCAAACAGCTGCAAGGGCTTCAGCTTTCACCAGCTGCTGTTTATGACTAAGAAGTGCCCTCATGGTTCTTTTTAAAGTAACCTTTGGCAGAGGAGCAATAACAAATGACTGGTTTGGAAGATGGGTATAGTAAGTGCCACATCTGTTCGCTAAACGAACACACTGGTACTCCAGAAAATCTACTGCTCCTTCATTAAATCAAGGCTCTTTGTTAGAAAAGCTGTTTTCACCAGGCATTGTGTATTTCATGAGATATAGTGCCTTACAAACGCTGAAACCATCTATTATCACTGCATTCTCTTGACACTACCTGTAAACCTGCCCAAAGCTGTAAAAGGATACTATGATTTGTGAAAGCATGCAACAAATCACACTCATTATGCCTCTCCTTTACTCTGTCTAATGACCACCTCTGCTGGGACCTGTCAGGGCACTGTGTGCTTTGCTGTCCAGTCCCTAGGCAGCCTTGACCAGCCTTAGTTTCTTTCCTTATCGACAGCCAACACCTCAGGAGCCATGAGCCAGAAAAGGGCATCTCTGGAAATCAGGGAGTTCCCACTTCTGATTGCCAGTATATTATTTCGCTGTCCTATTTCAAACCAAGACAAAAACTTTTAGTGTTGGGCAACACACCTCTTTCAAGGTCTTTCTTTCCAAGGTATTGGGTTGAAGATAGCACAGATGAAGGGACTTGCCACACAGCTCTCTAAAGAACTGTTTACAGTTCCGTCAGCATCCATGTTATCCAGCTGTTTTAATAACCTCCAAGTCCTCCCCATAGCAAGGAATAATGAAGAGCTAGCTGTGACTGGAGTCTCTCAACTATACAGACATATATAATATGCAGATTAAATAATCCAAATAGTTTTTAACCTTTTATAGACTATGTTCTAGACCTGCATATCATTACTTAATTTCCCTATACACTTGTAATAGCTGTTAAAAGAATGATTTGGCTGTAAAGTCAACCTCCCAAGACAAGTAATGGCAGAATTACTTGTGCCTGAGGAACCTTACCTCAGTTCTCTCCCACTTGTGTCTTTTCTAAGACAACTATTTCTAATGTGAACACTATATGGTTTTTCATCTATAACAATTCTATTATCTTCGTACAGGTCTTCAAATAGGGTATTTCAGGAAAGTTACCCTTTTCATGCATCAGGTCTCATAACTGGATTGACAAATGCCAGCACTAGTCATTCAATTCAATCTTCTTAGACTGTCTCTCATAACTCATAAACAGTATTTGGAAGGAATTGAGGAGTTTCAGTCATCATTGTTTTGCAATGGCTTGGGGATACAGCAGTTAAATGATTAACAGAACTGAAAGGACTATTTAAGTCCAAACAAGACAGTGTAAACAACATAGTAGAATAGAAGGAGGTGGTATGATAGCATTGGGAGCTGGCACAAGCCTCATTCCAGACAACCAGGCCTATATGTCTTCCACCTGAACTATGACTGTTACACCCACAGGCTCCGAGTTCACACAGTAAATCCCAAGTTGCTTAGCCATCTTCCTGGGGTACTCCCAGCCTTGTTTCCTTTTGAAGGAGGTTGAGGAAGAACTTTAAACCAAAACTCCAACCTTTCCTCAGTTCAGGAAGGCCAGTTTAGCTCCTTAAAGTGTTCAGGTGCTTGTTGCACTTCAGTCAAACATAAAGCACAGTCTCTTTTTATTTTTGCATGAGTACCCATGCACCAATCTTTGCTCAGTGTTTGGAAAAAAAGTGTTTGGATTTTTGTGTGGTAAGTCCTTGTTGAAAGCTGCTTTTATGGCAGGGCAGTACGTGGACATTTCTGAATCGACTTATTTCAATGAAGGAGAGAAATCTGGAAGGTGTGTGAGACAAGCCATATGTGAGGGTCAGATTCATTGAGTTGTCTCTTAGGTTCCATTAAAGTTGCTTTACACTTCTGCACAAAACCTTAAAAACTGCTATAGGAAACACACCATCTTCTCCTCCACATAGGGACTGACAGAATGAGAGTCCAGGTGCTGAGAAACCTGCTTCTGTGGAGAAGCCTCCTCCAGCAGTGCCATGCTAGAAGCACAGTATGCTGCAGAAGTCATCCTCCATCCTCTCCATGAACTCTGCCTGTTTTACATGAGACTTGTAAAATGTTTAGAAAGTGAGCAATAAGTAACTTTTTTGGCTCTAAAAGCCATTGCGATGTTTAAATTTATTTTTTTTTAAGTTTACTATCACAGAAAACTACTCTCACTTCTAGGAACAAACAGTTCACCATAGGGTTGTAGTTTATTGACAAGGCACTCTCAATGGGACTTATACCATCACAGCCCACAGTACCACATTTTTAAAATTTCTAGGGATATCAGCGCTGAGCTCTGTAAGCTTTAGTATTTTTTTCTCCCTCCATCAAAAAAAAGTCTAACTGCACTTTTTAATGTGAATTTGGTTTCAAAACCGTAATGGTTAAGCTTAAAATGTTATTTTCAAAATGGCCAACTATTTCATATGTCAGTGAAAGCAAACAGTTACTTTTGCTGGTGTCCATGAATGTTTCCATCCTCAGAAAGAAGGACTCAGCAAGCTGAGTTTTACTAACAAATATACAGGCATGTGTAACTGAGCTGTGAATCAAGCAATTGCTGATGCAATTAGAACTTAACCTTGGCCAACCTTACAAACTTATTATATAGAACAGTGCGAAATTAAAAACATAGACCACAGAGCCAAGGAGTATTACATGAATCTGAAGCAGATGGTGCTTCCCATTTCTCACATAATTTCAACCAAAAGAGAGAAGTCCAACTCCAAGACAAGCTGCCTGTTTGTTGTCCTCTAATACCTAATTTATTTTGCTATGTGGATCAATTTTGCTGCAGAAGTTAAGCAGGAATTCTTGCTTTTGGTTTTTCCAGTTGAGTTTTAAGACCTAGAAACTTAAGAAATGACATTGAAAACTATATACCTAATTGGATCTCCTCTTTCCTACACCAATTTCTCTAACAAGCCAATCACTACCACATAAACTTCAGATATTCTTAAAACAACTGAACACACTCTTAATGATGCCAGCAGTCTCAGACAAATAGCTGTACTATAGTTATTTTGGAGCTGACTACTACTGAACATGTTATACTTCAATCATAAGGAAAAAAAAAAGAAACTCTCATAGGAAGTGATACCATTTTCTTCCAGGCATGGAGCTACATGTCAGTACTAGCTTTACCACAGGAAAAAAAAATTTAAGAAGTGTTTTTGGGTTAAAATGTGTTCTAGACACATTCCATTTTCATACTTTGCTGCCAGTTTTAAAAATTAAGTTGGAGACTTCAGAAGTAAAAAAATCTATTCTGCTGCTTGTCAGAAAGATGGCTCACATGTGCTGATCAGCAAAACTGGTGCTGATCAGGAGTTTCTCATTCATAATCACAGAATATTCTGAGTTGGAAGGGACCTACAGGCACCATCAAGTTCAGCTCTTAAGAGAATGGCCCATATGGGGATCAAGCCCATGACCTTGGTGGTATTAGCACCATGCTCTAACCTGAGCTAATTTGTTCAGCTAAGTGATTTGGGCAGATAGGAGAACATCAACACGAAAAAATAAAACTAAATAGCAAATCTTCATTTGGAGATGGCATAGGGTATATAGATTCCTTTATGTCTTTGATTACCCTGATCTAAAACAGAAGAAAAGCCTGTGTCCCCCTTGTGAAAGCCCAGATGATCAGAGCGTCTAAGGCTTTGTGTTTGGTTGGGGGTTTTTTTGCTTATTTTTACATGAATTAGAAAAAAACCAAAACAGTTTAGGAGCACCTCAATACAGACTGATTACTGCAATCACCTTTTTCCATGCTCAGCTCTAGTTCCAAAATTGCATTAGTTGATTTTCCCAAATCTATCAATGACAGTTGGTATCTGAAATATCTTCAGATAAGCCAACATCTCATGAGTGTCAAAATTTGGCTGTTTTAAATAAAACACAGTCATTGTTATCCAAAAGTGCTTCGGTTATAGGCTTTCTTCCTTTACCCTGAGTACCTTCCTGAGAAGAAACTGCCCCTGTTGTGGAAGAAGGGTTGGGGTGTGGCAGCAGCCAGGGAAGCATGTTACTGCTTTAACAATGGCCATGTGAAGATGCTGAAGCAGGACAAATTTTTAATGAATAACATTTTAATTTTATTTGGTGGGGGGGAAAGGCAAACCTGGATTATATTCTGATTTGTGTTCCTGTCATTTTTTTCCAGGGCAAAATGTTCAGTATGAGCAGTACAGTGGGCACATCTGAACAAGACTGACTGGAAAAAAACCCTCAGCTTGTCATAACCCACTCTGTAACTCCTAGCCTCTGGAAAATTCCAGTAGTCTTACACAGGAATTGGTGGGATTACACCTATGTCTCACTTTTTATGCAGATCTTTCATGTACATGCAGTGACTATGCATGTGGGAAGTTCAAAAGGATCAGTGGGATTACTAGAAACTGCTAAATTTTCCCCTATGCAATCTATGCTGGAGTGGCCGATGCCCACTAGTCTATTAGTAATAAATGGGCACAAAATAAATCACTCATATGTCTTGTCCATCCAATCTGCTATAGATTACTAAAGTTACCTTATACTAAAGTTTACTGGTTAGTGAATTTCCAACCATTTTCTCCTGGTGATGACCATGATCTCTCATGTAGTTTTCAGTCAGATGTAGTGGGCACCAATTAAGGATGTCTGCTTAAGCAAAGAGGATGTTTGCTCTAAATAACTTCTGCCTTGTCATTTCCAGAACCTCAGAGAGTTATTCAAGAGGAAATAAAATTTCTCAGTATACTATTTCTCAGTAAAATAGTGAAAAGTTGAACGATGCTGTTTTATTGCCAAAGAAAATGTGCATGTCCTTCATGACACTGGTATTAAAAGGACTCACTTATTTTGAAGGGCTTGCCAGCAACACTAAGAAATGCATTATGTTAGCATAATGTTATATAAATTACTTTTCTCCTCTGTCAAGCTGGCAATTTAGTAAGATATCAAAAATATGCAAAGACAGTCTTAGCATCTTGAATCCCTTCTCTTACAGCCACCAAAACACCAATCTCCGAAATAATGAGACACTTTAGACTCTGGCTACAGAGTTCTCACCAGGAAACACTAAATGGAGCAGTATCTACCCCCAAAATAGCTCAATGGAAGGAAGGCAGCATACTATCTTCTATTTCCAGACCGCACCTGAAACAGCAAATCCAGGAATACTGTACTGACCAAGGTTTGCAGCAGCATTATAAGTGGGACAAGAATATAGTTTCAAATCCCTTCAGTCAACTTGGTTCTCGGTTCTTACTGATACCTGTACAGGGAAGTGATAGGAACTGTTGGTGAGGACTTTGCAGATGTTCATAGGAATGTGGTGGGGACCCAGAGCTTGCAACTGTGAGTTCGAGTGGTTTAGCTCAGACAGTCACTCCCACAGAGGATTGTGTGAGGCCCAGTGGGGAAGCAGTAGTGGGGAGCTGGTGCTGAAGCAATGAAGCATGAGTCAGGTGGGTGAGACAGTCTGTTTTGATATTTTAAATGAGTAGAGGTTGCTGTTTGTGAGGAGCTGTGTGTGTAGACTGCAAATAGTCTCTATCGCAGTTGGAAATGTGGTGATTCATTGTGGTCAATGTGTTTCTACCACCACTTGTTTTCTTCCTTCTGACTTTTGGTACTCTGTATTTCATCAGGCTTTTTGTTTCCTGTTTCTTCCTGGGCTTTGACAGTCCACAGCAGATAGTCATGTTATCTTCCTTAGCCCTATATTCATGGCATGTAGAAGAAATTCAGTCCCCTGAGTGTTGTTTGTTTCTCTTTTTCATCCGCTGAGCATCAGTACCCTGTATTTGTGTCTCCTGTAGATTAGCCTGTGATAGGCTTGTAGCTGCTGGGGAGTAGTTGCAGGTCCTAGGAGGCTGCCTGTCACTGAACTCCTTCTCTTCCTCCTGCTAGGCAGGCTGTGCATCTGTGGGTCAGAGCAGAATAATCAGGATTTGAAACAGGTTCAAAGGAAACTTGGAACGTAAAACTTGGCAACGTCGCCCAGGCAATTGGTGCTAGAATCTGACTAACTCCATTCTCTCGGGCGCTCTGCCAGTCTCTGCTGTGGCCTTTGCATATTTTCAGGCATAGGCAAGTTAAAATACTAAAAAATATTTTGCAGTCTGTCACCATAAGCAGCTGAAAGATTGTGTGCAGCCCTTTAACTCAGGACTTTAAAGCATGGCAAGCACAGCCTCCTTTTTTTCCCCCAGTATCTGCAGAGGGCATTTCAGAAGTTCTGAACTTCCAGGCAAAGGCAAGAAACTTATCTGGTAGATTTTCCAACCGTTGTTCCAAACATCTCCTTTCAATAAGAAGTCCCACATGGAAAATCCAGTTATATCTTTCACCTGGAAATTTGACAGTTATACTTTAAATTTTGTTAAAATCTATCCTAGCTTAAAATAAAATACTGAATGACTAGAAAATAATTTTTTATCCAGCTGGCAAAGCCAAAAATTTTGACCAGCACTGGCAGGAAAGCAAGTGAGCAACTACAAGAGCAGCTCTGGGGGCTGAAGAAACATTCCAAGCAAAGAAACATGAGAGCCAAATGTACAAATGGCCCAAAGTTTATAATACTGACTCAATAAAGCAGTCTCAAATATCAACATATTGAGGAAGCGACCAATCGCTATCAGTGAATTAAATTAACTTGAATGCAGGTATTCAGCTTATAAAATTAGCATGAGCTTATCCCTGGTATAGAGTTGCCATGCCTAGTGAGCCATTACTGTAAGCATTTATTGTGACCATAACATGGAGCAAAGGCAAATAGCACAGGGCTGTTTTATCAGTGGTGGAATAAGAGATGTGATAGTCAACAAACTGTAGTGCTTGGGAGGCACATAAAGCTGGTGACTATAGCTGACAGCCTGTTAAAGGATAAGAGCAGGAGGCATGTGAATTTACCAGATTTACCTACTCAGGCAGGAACTGAAATAGTCCTATTCTATTCTATTCTAGTCTACTCTAGTCTAGTCTCTTTAACACTATAGGCTGAACAGCAACACATGTTGCTCTTGAGATACTAATAGACTGATAATGAATGCTGCCTGACTTCCAGGCCACTCTGTGATTTCATAGCAATTCAGGATATTGCCATTACACTTGCATTTCCCATTTTTCTGTGATGGAATGGCTCCCTACTGCTGGTCATCCAATTCAACACTACTGCTTGTCAAACAGCACGAGGCTCCATAGGCTGTCACATTACTTCCTCCCTCCCACCCCTTAGAACTCTCAGCTTTTGGGATTTTACCTGCTCAATGCAATGCCCTTTCTGCTTCTTCCTCCAGCATCTCCTGCTCCTCCTTGCTGAGGTCCAGAGATTTCGGCTCTGTAGACTGGGCCAGAAGGTGCAGAGAATCCAGTGCAGTTTTTGGAGAGGATGAAGTTAAAAGTCTTCCAAGTCACATGGCTTTTTATTGCTGCGGCTGATGCTTGAGCTGATATCCCATTTCTCCAGGCTCTCAGAAACTGGCAAATCCTGTGGCTGCCTTACTTTTTACGTTCCGTTCATGTCTGCTTGTGTATTTTCTTTGTTTCAGAGCTGGCCTCAGTTTGGTATAAAGTGCTCTTAGTAACTACTTCCTCCCTTACAGATTAATTATTCAACAGAAGTGGACGATGACTAGCAGTAGTAGAGAGTAATACCTGATATTTTAATGAGCATGCTGGCACTTATTTGCTTCGAGTTTTGTACTGTGAGGTAAGTAGCAAAGGGATAGGTACAGAGGGAGTACACTGACAATGCTACCAAGAACTGACAGACAGCCCTACCAAGCACACCTTAAAACCCTGCCAAACCCATTCCACTAGATATTGCTAGTTGATCATCATTACCTAACAGTAATACTGAGCTATCAGCTTCAGGCAACCTGTCAACCTAGCCAAAGATTTGCTCACACACCTGATTGAAAGAGATCAGCAGCATGTTTAGCTGGCCAGGCAGGAGAGCCCTGTGGGTGGAATCTGATCCTTAACAATTTGTTTAAAAGGTAATAAAAATCGTGTGGACGGGCATGATACCAGCCCAAGAGATTTCATCTCTTTTACATCTCCTGTTGCACTTACAAATGAAATATTAAGCCTACAGATTAATCAGTTTGAAGAACAGGCAAGGGAAGCAAATGAAATGGCACAACTACATGTGAAGTGACCTTACCTATTAAGGTATGAAATATAGCAGCTACAGCGCCAGCCACAACCATGCACAAAACTGCTTTGGTCCTGTCTCGCTTGCTGTTCACAAACACCAGACCTACATTTTTGAAGTCACTCATCGGACCCGTGAAGAACTTCATCAGAGAGTATGCCAGCCCATAGCTGGCCAACATTTCCACAGCATCTTCCTTGACAGCAGCGATGCCCCTATTCAAGGCCTGTGGAAACACAGAAAGAGCAAATAATGTAGCACATGTGGAAGTATACCAAACACAATTTTCTGCATCTGGTTTCTGAAGTAACAAGCAAGTACAGCTGTCATTGTTTTCACCCCAAGCAGGGGTGGATTCAGCTTGTGACCTGTTACACAGGCAAAATAATTTAATATAGACTAAATTCAAGTCAAGTAGACTTGAAGATAAGGTAAGTATCTGTCTCTAAAGTATACAACAGAACTCCTGCTATACCAGAAGTCAGTCTCTTCCCTTTTTAGAATAATTTTATGACCTACTAATAATCACGGATGATACAAGATCACTGAAATACCGCTTTGAGGCCTCAGCCCTGATTTGAACAAAGCACAGTCCTTGCAGATTATCTTTAAAGGTAAAAACTGACATTATTAACTGCTCAAAGTTCAGGAGCTCAAAAGTTGTTTTCAGTGTAAAAAGCTTTTCATAAGAGCACATGTAATTGTTCTTAATAGCTGATATTAGTTTATGATTTTTATTACGAAATGAGGCCAAATATGCCCATGATTAAACATTACTGATATCCTTTCATCTATTTTACAAGGTTCTGATACTATATTCATTTACATCTCCTTGTAGCATATTTAGAAAGAAATACAGCACATATCTTTTAAGACATTTTCAGGTACAACTAACATACTAATTTATTCTAGGTCTGTATTTAGGAAATGTCTGCCAATGAATCAGAGAGAATTAGATGGATTATTTTTATAACTAAGGTGAACCATATTAAAAATGTGTAACATTCCTTCAGATTCCATCTTGAACCAAAATGCTTCTCAAATATTGAATAAAAATGACAGAATGATAGATTTTATCTGCAGTGTGACAGCATCAATCATCTGGTACACCCAGCAAACTGTTAAAACAAGATTAGATTCAAAAAGCATGAAGGATGAAATATGACTTGTTTTAACAAGTATTTAGCTCCTATGGGTTACAGTTCATGTATGCTGACAGGGCCATGACAATGAGGCCAATCAGGAACATCTTGCCAACCCACCTCAGTCTATCCACTTACAGAGCCATCCTATTACCACTTTATCTGAATGAACAAACCAGGTAGAGTATCATCACATAACTGTGATAAAGTCCTTCCATTTCAAATGTAAGCATAGCCTTTTTATTGCAGTCTTTTGACTTCTTTTTCCCTTCCAAAGATCATACAAGCAAGCAACTCCTATTGACTTCAAAAGAAACTGCATCCCTGAAGCAGAAATGAGCATTTTTCCTACTGTTCTTTTCCACTCTTCCTGTGAGACATGATCAATATTTGAAACTAAAGCTGCACTGTCAAAATAGCAAAAAAGCCGTAGAAAATACCACCTTCTCTATCCTTGATGCCTGCCAAATCTCCCTCCTGTAATACACTCTGACCTGAATGCCTGAGGGTCCAAATGTTTTCATCTGTCTTGCTTCAGTTTGTTCCTTCCTGAAAACACCATGTGTTAGATATGGAATATCTGCAGCTCCTATATGTAACCTCTCCTGGGATATAGATAATTCCATCTACTGCACTGGTATCAATTCAAATTATATTTAATCTGCAGACGCCAAAACCACTAGTGGGTTCACAAAACTGCATTCAAACAATTTGTGGAAGACTGTGGCCTCTGAAGTGAATAGTCAAGTTTAGCTGGATGATGTCATAATTGGTATCAAGGTGTATACAGAGTTACAATTTTTTAATTTAAACTTCCTAGAGATGCTGAATCTCCCAGTTGTTGTTGCCAGTAACAGGCAAATAGCCTTAGATTATGACAAATAAAAGGTTCCTTCATCATGGTTCTTCCCTTCTCTTTTCTTCTGTCAAAAGCGAAATCTTTCTGGCAGCTTCAACTTAAAGAGAAACAGCTAACCAATTTCAGGCAGTCTAATTTAAAAACTTCTTGTCACATGTAAACAGCTGAATTATTTCCAGCACAGTTTCAAAAGCACAAGTGCTTCCTTCCTGCTTTGTACAACTACAGAATACCAGAGTCTGTGGAGGATGGTAATCTACTTCTGACAAGGCCATGGGATAAACATGGCTTTAAGAAATAACATTCTGTCAAGAGGCATGGCACTATGATGCCTGTGCAGAGAGACAAATCTTTGCCTAGCACAGACCTCATGCCAGTGAAAACAGTTCCATATGAATTTGGCCTGGGATAACTAAGTTTTTCCACATAAGCAGGACAGACAGGAGGACTTGAACATTCCTTTTTCTCTCCCTCTCTGGTTTTACGGATCTTTTTTGTATGAACAAACGACAGCCAAGTAGGTAACTTTCTGAGTAATCTTCCCTTGAGACACCCTGTGTACTAGGTAAGGTAAACTGGCAAAACACAAAAGGGACTACTCTAAGAGGAATGTTGCCATTAATTTATACTCCTGTGGAATGCCTGGCTGACATGACAAAATACTCTAGAGGCTAGCGCTGAAAAAGCAATCCTCCTAAGTGCTTCTATGGAAAGATCCTTAGGAAATGAACAGTCAATAGGCCTGTGTACAGATGGTTTAGCTTCAGTAGCCTTTTCCTTTTTCACTTTTAGATGACAACGTAAAAGGCTCTTCATCCTCAACTTTCAAACACTATAAGAAAACTTGTGTAGCTTTTCTACCCCATGTACCTTTGAATATTTTTGCTGCTGAAGCTGCTGATGTCATATTTAATATCCTTAAACCCACAAGAAATCCCAGATAATCGATAAAGCTGCTTTGGGGTGCAATATGAAAGATGCAGGCACTTGATCTTTCATGGCATGCCACCCATGCAGTTGGTAATCTTCCAGTCCAATTTCCTGTTAGATTTCCAATTAAATCTGTCATAAAGGAAGACAATATAAACTAGGGCAAGGTCTTCACTTTTTAATCTGACTCTATTTTGTATGCTTTTTGTATGAACAAAAAATCAATAACAAAGGCTCATCACTAGCATCTGTATTCACAAGAGAGCATAACTTTACAAAGATCTGTGTAGCTTGTCAATGAAATCACACAGAACTAGGTAGCAATAATACTAATGACAATATTTAATACAACCATGTAGCTTGATCATACATATTTCAGATGTCATCCTATTTTGAGATGGATTATTCATACCAAAATTGATGGGATAACTAGGAAATCCAGATGTTGGAAGACAGACTATTGTTGACATCACCTTCTCCTGAGTTCTTAATGAATTACTGAACATAATACAGTACTAGGTGAAAGTGTCACAGTAAAGTGTAATTCTTCAAATGTGATTAAAACAAAGCCACAGATATTGGTGACCCTTCTTTTAGAAATAAAAGAAAAAAAACATAGAACACTTTCAGGCAGAGCACAGTCTGGACAAGTTAGGCACATGGACAAGTTAGTTGAAATAAGTCATATTCCTAAAATACTTCTCAAAAAGGCAGACACCAAGATCTACAGCTACTTCTATACAATGTCTTTCTATAACACGTTACATTACCACTGGAAAGACGAAATCTTTACTAGAGGACATGGTAACAACCCTTTGAGCCTTTTTTTAATGAATAATTGTGTGCTGTCTTTAATGTTCACTAAAATCAGAGAGGACTAGCATTTTTAAATTCCTATCCAAAAGATTCAAGTCAGAGGAATACCGAATAATACACTTAACGACATTTGAAGTCATCTTAACAATTGAGTACTGCAGCTGGCTTTATCCTCTTACAAGGAACATATGAGACCTCTACCAAACTTCTAGGACATGCACAATGGATGAATCCAACAAACTTTTGCAGGCAAAGGCAGCAATTTAAAAAGCAACAGTTGTGAGAAAAATGTCAAAGGTCTAACTTGTCCTATTTTGCATGAGCTTTTAGCAGTATTCACTAATGTTGGTAGAAAAGGTTTGGTTTCAATCTACGGCTACACACCTCTGTTGCCAAAAATTCAAAGTCTGTCTCTTGAACTGGTTCTATAGAGTTTAACCATTACTCACGTGATCCTCTCCTCCCAGAGACTACTGGATGACTGATGTTTTACTTTGTATTGGTTTAGACATATAAAAATATTTTTAAAATACACTGAGAAAGCAATACGTATTGTATAGGTTTTCTTCTGATTTTAAAACTGTTTTACATACTGCAAAGAATTTCAATACTCTATATCTGACTAGAAGGGCACATTTTCTACTTCATTTGAAGTTAAGTATTAACTGTGCAGTTCGAAGCTGGGATCTTGGCTGAGATGTTTTCAAGTCCGCTCAGGCTATTTATCTACCCAAGAGTGACATCAAAAAATCTGCTCAATTTGGCAGTATCTTGGCCAAATGTATGTTCAGTTCAGCAAACGTTTTTAATGGTTACCCTTCTCCCTACATCTTCTTACCTGCTCTCTCCCAAGAAAATGGAAGAGTGCCAACACATCCAGGTAAAGAGCAGGCTGATGTAGAGAACAGTCTTTCCCCTGCGTCACATAATCTCTCCTGATGATTGTTGGCTGAGTTTTCATTTACTAAGTCCTGTCATGCTACAATCTTCAGCATCAAATGTACCAGCTGGCTCTGGTTGTTCTGCATCCTGCTGTCACCACTGCCAGAAGGACACCTGACACATCTGATGCTCTGTAAGCACGGCATAATCAGACCACTGTGTAGGTGACAACCTGAGCATTATCACATCTGCATCTCTGCTTCTGGTAAAAGCATAAAGGCAGAAACCCCTGATAGGCAATTTAACATAAACAGCTAGTGCTCTGACACAGGTTTCTGTAAGACTTCCACAGACATGGGCATAGAAGTGGGAGAAAACTGGGCAAAAATAACATGCACACATTTATTCTGGCTCAAGCAGATTGCCCAAACATACCATATGAAGAGAGAGCCCTGTAGGGGTAGAGGGACTCAGACCTTGTATCTTGAAAATTATGACTGAGGAGTGTTCATTGTTTTAGGTCTTTTGTTTGGGGGTTTGTTTTGTTTGGTTCTGCAAGGCTTTCACCCTAATTCAGTATATCTAAATTTGGGTCAG